CTCTCTCCCCCCCCCACCCCACACACAAAAAAAAAAAAAAACGAATTAATGAGTAAATCTTAAACAGCATCCATAAAGAAAAAAAGGACAGCGTGAACTACCCGAGAAATCAACCCCCGATGTACCTCCCAAAGCTCCAGCAAAAGAAGAAGGTTAACCATTTCCAGTTCACCCGATCTCGACGCCAACTCATCGGTGGGGGCATCATTGGGGTTCTGGTCATCCTCTCCGGCGCGGTCTACGCACTGGGGAAGCTCCGTGGGAGGGAGCGGCAATCCCAGATCGAGCTCGCCCGCACCCACCCCGGGCAACGCGTCGTAATTCTCGGCGGCGGCCTCGGCGGCTGCGCGCTCGCGGGGAACCTCTGCAACGCGGACCCCGAACTCCACGTCACCGTCGTGGATGCGCAACGACGGTATCTCTTTCAAGGCCTCGTCCCCCTCGCCCATGTGGGGCATCGCAGCTACGACCTCAACACCTCCGGCGCGGTGGATTTCTTGAGCTCCCCTCTTTCGTGGAACGTCACACGACGGGCGAATATGGTGCTCGGGGAGGTGGTGTGCGTGCGGCCGGAGAAGAAGGAGGTGATTGTTCGCGGGAAAGCCGTGAAGGAGAGGGGGGGAAAAAGCACGGCAGAGGGCTCTTTTTCGCGCGGGAAAGGCGAGGGTGACGTGGATTCCACCTTGCCCTGGTGGCGGCGCTTCATTCGTTCCCCTTCCCCACCCCCTTCGCGAAACCCCGATGGCAGCCTCCCCCTCTCGGATGGGTGTGTGGCGTATCCTTATGACGTCCTCGTCGTCGCCGCAGGGGCGCAGCGGACGCTAGGCCCGTTGGCGGATTTTCTGAAGGTCTCGAACCTGGATTGCTACCGCATTGCGGTGAACCCCGGGGTAACGCGAGACTCCCTCGTTCATTTGTACAAGGGGAACGTGCTCCACGTCAAAGTTCCCCCGACCTCCTTCGTAAGGCAAATGGAGCAAATCCGACGGAAGCTGTTACCACCCGCGATCCGCATTAGCGAAGAGCATCTGAAGGAGGCCTCTCGTGTCTATCTTGAAAAGGGCAACTTATTGCCCCTGATGACGCCAACCATTGAGAAAGTCTGCACCGATAAGAGCAGTAGAAATACGCTAGCAGCCGCCGATGAATCTTTTCTCACCGCATGGTGCTCTTGCAAGAGTAGTACGGACTCAGCCGCTTCGTCGTCTACGTCGAATCACGACGAGTCTTCGTCGCAGAATTTTGCCCCGTATATGCATTACCCCGCTCGGCAACACGAAGGCACGTTTGTTTCCTCAACGAACCTTATATGGAAGTATTTGCATTACTTTTCCAAACTGAGCTTTTGCACACTCTACACCATTGTGGCTGATGCGGAACCGCTAGGTCCCGCGTCACGCTCCGTGAATAATATCATTCGAGATCATTGGTCGAACATGCAGACGCATAGTTACCGCGCGCTGAAGTTGCCGTCCGCCTCCACGACTCTGGAAGGTGGAGAAGTGAGCGCGAAAGTATTGGCCGACTTGCGTTTCTTCTTCTTGTCGCATAGCTACCTCACCGACGTTGACTTGATCAAGAATGAGGCTACGGTGTATAACTACGCCTACAATGCGCTGATTTCGATTCCCTTTGGTCTGATCCTTCTTGATCTTCCCTTGTGCGCGCCGAGCTTTATACGGGAAAGCGGCCTCCACCGAAAGGACTACGCACGGGAGCACATGCCTGCTTTCTTAAGTACGAGCTGGTGGAATGCGGTTGCGGCCAAAATGGTGAATCCTGCTGACGGGGCTAACCCCTTCCGCTGGATGTCCACGGTGCAAAAGATCCCCCCTGTGCGCAATTGCTTTAGAGATGAGGAGGGCTTTGTGGATGTGTACCCAGACACCCTGCAGCATCGCCGCTACGAGAACATCTTTGCCCTCGGGGATGCGGCGGGGCTCCCCACGATGAAGAGCTACGGCTCCACCCTTGCGCAGGTTCCGGTTGTTGCGCACAACGTCCTTCAGGTGGTGCGCAAGCAAAAGATCCTTCAACGTATGAGCGAAGTGGGAAAAAATAAGGAGTTAGGTAGCTCTCAGGATCGCGGCAAAGGAAGCTTACAGGAGCACACCCCACAACCTGAAACGACGGCGGTTGAGGGGGGAGGGGTTCATCGTGAGGCAAACGCACGTTACAACGGGTATAGCTCGTTTCATGTGTGTATGACTCCCTGGAGAGCGATGTGGCCAGAAATGGAATACAATCAGCAGCAGGTTGATGCTTTTCAGGCTCTTCACGAGGTAGCCGGCACCAAAAATGCGACGAGGAAGGATCACGAGAAACTACCCTTGATCGAGGGGGAGGATCCAGTGTTGGTTGGAAACCACCCTCTTAGATTCTGTAATCACCATATTTGGGATAACTTGGCATGGAAAGATTTCCGTGGTGTCCTTAACGCGCTGTTCTATCAGTCCGGTCTTTATGAGATTCTGTTCTTTGTGCTTCTCAATTCGGGTTCCTGGTACCCACCGGGATGGCTTTCGGTGCCGACATTTTCCCCTGTCGATGGCTCCATAGAGCCTCCTCGAACGCGTTTTAGTTGGTTGTAGGTGTTGCCTACGCTCATGTTCATACGCGCATATGCGCACGTGTGTGGGAAGAGGGGGACATGCTCATTTCCGGTAGTCTTACTCGGGTGTTTCATTGTCTTCCGTGTTTTCACAGTGGGGTGGGATTTTCACAAGTATCGAATTCGCTTTATAGGTCTAGGGACAGGATATCTTCCAAGGCAGTTGGGAAGGACCTTCTTTTTTTTACCGATGCACATGTATGTATTCAATTTCGCTTTACTATGTTATCATTGTTAGTGGGCCTTTATCTCCATAGGTACACTCAGTCTTTTCGTCTGACAACAGGTATACATAATCGATGGACTCACATAAAAAGGAGATAACAAAGTGGGTAAACAATGCTATTAAACTAGAAAATGAAAAACAATTCCAGGGTGCTGAGGAAAGCTACACGCGCGCGATTTACATCTTGAAAAATGTCCTACAGAACACATCACTTTCCTCGGATGATCGCCAAGCCGTGATGAAATACACTAGCGATATCGCGAAGCGCATCCAGAAACTACGTGCAATCAACCGCAAAGGCGCTATCCCCAGAACAACATCAACAACAGCATTGACAACTCCTAGTGAGGAAGGGGCCCTTAGTTCTGAGACATCCAGGACTTCTCGTCCACCAGTAGTCAGATCACAGTCGACGTCAACGCATTTGCCGCCGCCTGGCGATGATTATTTGAGTTTTCTTGGTGACCCTGAGTACAAACCGAGCGTGTCGAAGATTGAAACGAAGCCTGGTCCGAAATCCGTGACTTCGACCCCGCTGGCATCCCCAAACCTATCCACTTCGAAGGGCTCGCCAGTCGCCTCACCTCATCACACGGGTACGAGGCTTAACTCGAGCTCCAACAACGCGAACTCCCTGATTCCGAGCCCGATTCCGTCGCTGTCGTCTGCGAAAAGCTCTCTGACGGGGTTGCCCGCGGGTGGAAAGAGCGCTGGGGAGAATCGAAAAGACGATATGAAGGCTGACCAGGCGCCACCGCAGCGGTCTCACCCCCCAAACTATCTCGTACCGCGCGCGTCGGAGTTCATCCTGAAGGCGATTGAGGTGGCTTCCCAATTATGCCAACAGGACGAGCTGAAACGCGCTGTAGATGTCCTTCAGCATGCTTACCACATCGCGAAAAAGGAGCGCAACAATCCTAGCAACTTTAAGGATATTCAGTCGGTCCTCCGTGAAATGCGACAAAAGTATTACGAACGCTATCCACCGAGGTTTCTCCAGGATAACCCCGTACTGCCCGAGGAGATGACGCTGCTGCGGAACAGCGGGATCATCACGACGATTCGTCTGCCGTGTTGGGATGATATCGAGGAAGGCTACGGTGCGGAGAACATCTTCATGCCCTGTGAAGGGGTATGGGAGGATAACTTCACGCCGCAGCTCAGCAAAACGCAAAAGAAAGAGGGCGCCCAGCTCGTTCACATCGCGAATCTCTACCCCAAAGGGGCTGATCTTGCCATTGTTAGGCATGCCGATCCGCTTTCGGTAATGCAGACCGTCGTCGGGGATTGCTCCATGGTATGCAGCCTCATCATCTGTGCGAGCTACCAAAAACGATTCCCAAAGGCCAAAATTATCAGCAACGTGATCTACCCACAGGATCGAGAGCGCAACCCCATCCTTAATCCCAAAGGAAAGTATGCCGTGAAGATGCTCATCAATGGCATGACGCGGCTCGTCCGGATTGACGACCGGCTGCCCGCGAACCCGTTCACGAAACGACTCCTCTGCACCTACAGCCAAGATCGTACGGAGCTGTGGGTGTCGCTGATGGAAAAGGCCTTTGTGAAGGTGTGTGGTGGGAGTTATGAGTTTCCCGGAAGCACCAGCGCGAGCGATCTCTACAGACTCTCCGGATGGCTCCCCGATTCGCTGAGTTTAACGAGCAAAGACTTCGACGCGAACTTCCAGTGGCGACGCCTTCTTCATAGCTTCCAGAGCGGCGCGTTGTTGATGACGTTGATGACGCCCAACTCCCTTTCCCGTGAAGTCGAGGAGGGGATGAAACTTTCCCCCGAGCACGCCTATGCGGTGTTGGAGCTTCGTGAGGTGGATGGGCTTCGCGTCGTGGGGTTGCGAAATCCGTGGTCTTGTCAAACCTGGGGAGGGGCGCTCGCGTGGGGGGATCGAAGCGAACTTGCCATGACGATCCATCGTAGCCTGGGGTACACCAAAGAGATGGCAGAGATTGGGGTTTTTTGGATGCGATGGGAGGATGTGCTTCGGTATTTTGATGGCGCCTCGTTGAGCTGGAACCCTTACCTGTTGTATCCCACCGCCGAGGGGCTTTCGCGGAAACCAACGCGGCTTGCCTGTCATGGTACCTATCACCCCACCACGAGCCTCGCGGAGATGCCGCAACTTCACATCCACGTCGGGAATCTCCGGCAAACGACTCGGATGCATCTCCTTTTCTCCCGCCATATCACCGAAGTCGCGGAGTTCACCGATCATTTCGACGAAGCGCGGCGAAAGCAGGATCGATTTGTCGCCCTTAAAGTCTTCGACGTGACGCCCTACCCGTCCGTGGCGCAAGGGATCGGGGGGGGGTGTCCATTGGGGCGGTGTTCCGCCCGTCGCCTCAGCAGCGCGTCGGATGTGTCGACCTACTTGGAGCCGTTGAACGATCCGATCTACCGAAACGCGTTCGCGCACACGACGAGCTTCAATTGTAGCCCGGCGATGACGGATTTGGTGGTGGTCGTGGCCCTTCAACGCACCGCGCGGCGGGGGCCCTTCGACTTCACCGTCACCCTCCACACGGCGTTGGCGCCGTCGCCGCCGAGGAGGGACCCCGCGACGGGGCTTTCCGCGCCCGCCCCGCCGCGGTCGTCCCGCTCGGCGGCGGGCTCGAACGAGGAGGCCCGGGTGTGTCTCCATCCGATTCCCCCATCCGCGCTGCGCTACACGAATCGGGTGAACGGGGCGTGGGTGAAAGGCCGTAGCTGTGGCGGCCGGAGCGATACGGCCACCTTCGTGTACAACCCGCAGTACCTCCTACGGCTGTCGAGCCCCACCCTCTTCGCCGCTCGACTTTCCGTCTCCGACTGCGAGGAGTCGTGTGGGGTTTTTCTCCTCCGACGTCGGTTTCGCTCGCCTTCGGAGTCATCCCTTACCTCGTTTGGCTTCCGTGTTGGAAATCTGAGTCGGGATGTGGATTTCGTGATGAAATCGAGGCTTTACGGGGTCGGGGGGGCGCTCATCGACAGCGCCTTGCCGGAAACCGTTTCCTATGACCCCTATCACCTGCTTGGCGAGGTCGCGGAGAAACCAACCACGACGCTGCGGGTTATGGTGCATTGCGCCCCTTTAATGACGTCATCCGATCAGTTTTTCATGCACGAGGTGAACCAAAACGACGAGCTGAGCATGGTTTTTCTTTACGCGATGAAACATAAAATGGGATTGGGCCCTTCGAATTCGGTGATTCACATCGGCAATCACACGTTTGAGCATACCAAGCCTATCCAAGATGTTCTGGAGCACGCTCGGGGTCTTGAATCGGGTGCAAAAGGGGCAAACGCCAAACCTCACACCGGGGAGGTATCTCTCTTTCTCAAAGTCCACGCGACGCGGGAACAGATCACGATGGATAATGAAAAGGATCCCTTGGCGAGTGCGCTTTTTAATATCGCGTGCGATGTGATCCGGAATCGCGGCAAAGCGGCCAGCCACCTCTCGCAGCTACGCCCCCTCATTCAAACGGAAGGGGCTGGGGAGTTGGTTGGGAGGGCGCCCGTGGTGGGGTCTCCTCACCAGCCGATTGCCGCGTTTCTCCTGGGTTTCCTCTCGCAGCTCTCCTCTCAACCCCAGAGGAGGGCGGTGGATTGCTACCTCCTCCCCCCTTTGCCTGCGGGGGCGTACACGCTCATCCCTTCTTTGTGGAAAAAAGGGGTCGCCGGGGGGTTTAATCTCCTCGTCGAGGCGACGGAACCGTTTCAGCTCGAGCCGATTCCACCCGAAGGCGATGGGCTTCTCGAGCAACGCGTGGAAGGAGCGCTGCGCGAAGCGGGAAAGGTCCTCCCGGGCAGCTTTGAACCCCCCATGCGGCTTCACGCGAGCGATGCGTATTTTGAGAACCTCACGATCCGCATTTCCCTCGCGCGACGCGGCGTCTTTACCTGTCGGTTGTTGCTCGTGGAGGCGACGACGGGTGGGGAGGACGCCGCCAGCCCGACGTGTGCGAATCTCACCCTCTTCGCCCCACATGGGGAGACGGAGATGGATATGGTATCGAGCTCCGGACCCTACACCTCACTTGGGATTTCCATTCCGCCTGTTTCGCTGGAGGAGAAGACGCGTTATCGGTTGGTGCTCAGTTCGCTAAAGCCGTCAAATTGCAAGTATGTGTTGCGAATTTACACAAGCGTCCCGTGCACCACAGATGGATCTTAAACGTCGGAATCCAGAGTCATAAAAGAAAAAGGGGGAAACTGTCCACAGCAACCAGTAAGACTTTGGGTTGGGGTATTTCTTAAAGCATGCTCTATTTTTTTTTCTACGCTTTGGTGTATACCTGGTTTGTTCCTTTAACTCTTATGATACCTTGTATACGTTGCTAGACATGATATAAAGTCGCTTTAAAAGTCATGCTCAAGTTTCCGTACGGCCTGCACACGTTTCAGACCCCTAAATGTGACGATTTTTTTTTAAATGATTTGTGTGTGCGAATGCCTATCTTTTTATTTCCTTCCTCAAGATCGAGCTCTCTGTGCGTCTTAGGTTAGCACAACCATCAAGACGTAAATGATTGGTGTTAGGGAGAGTTCATCCTTTTGGTGATGGATCTACAAACTTCAAGGGCGGGATCGGATGCGGAGGCTGACTTTTTAGCGCGTTATCCCGAGCATCTGTTTATTTTTTCCAGCGCCGGAAAGCCCATCTTTTCGCGTTACGGGGATGAAACCGCCCTGAGCGCGCTCTTCGGCCTTTTGCAGGTGCTGGTGCAGGCACGCGGCGGGGTGGCCTCGTCGGCCGCGTCCCCCCGGACGGTCGATCTCATCCGTCGGATCACGTTTCCCACCCCGAGACGTTCCCCCACGGCCTCCGGGGAATCCCCATCGCGCGATTTATTTCTCCATTTCCGCATCTACGACGAGCTTACCTATGTCCTGACGACCCCGAACGACAGCCTCTCCTGCGGCGCCGTCACCTTGGCGTACGTGCACTGGTTTATGCTAAGCGTGGCGCCGACGGTGAACGCGCAGCTGCGGGCGTATCCGAGCTACGACGCCCGTCGATTCTACGCCGCCGCGGATTTCGCGATCCTGCGGGATCTCATCGAGGCGCTTCGTCGGAGTTTTTCCTTTCATCTCACCGCGGTGCCCGCGTTGGATTGGACGGCTCGTGCGGGGGGATGCCCGGTCGCGAAGGATCCGGTCGGACTTCACGCGCTCGAACCGGTCCTTGCCGAGCTCAAACGCGAGGCGGATCGGGAGACGGCGGGGAATCCGAACCTGATCCTGTCGCTTTTGCTCGACGACGGGCGTGTGGTCTTTTCCTCCGTCGCGGCGGGCCCCCTCGCGCGGGGGTTGACGGCGCCCGATATCCTGCTGCTTTTTCATCTCACCCGATCCATCCGGCATCGTCGGCAGGCCGGGGAGGTGTGGGTCCCGCTTTGCCTCCCGGTCGTCCACCCGACGCGTTACGTGTGGTGCTACATCGGGTGCCCGCTCGAGGCGCGCGCGGGAAACCCCCCGGATCCCTCGCGGGCGGATCCCGACGGCGGCGCGCGGGTGACGGATTTGCTGTGGATTCAAATCTCGTCCTGTCAGGAGGATTTTCCGCGGCTTTCGCGGCAAGCCGGGCGGCTCGCGGAGGTCCTGCTCGCGGCGGCCGCGGCGTCGAATCCGGCCCGGCGAAGGGCCGGGGAGAGCGGGGGATCCTCGTCGGAGGGCGGTGGAAAGCGAGGCGGCCCCGCCCCGCCAGGGGGGTTAAAACGGTTTTTCCTCCTCACCCCTCCGACCGCGGCGGTGGGGTCGATCGGTGAAGGTCGTTCAAGCCTCCACGTGCCGTGTGTGTTTCTCCTGAATCAATCCCCCGCGGGGTGGGATCGGGGCTCCTCGCCGGAGACGCTTAGGATCGTCGCGCGGGCGCGGGAGGAGTGGGATCTCTTGGAGGCCATCGGGAAGGTCGATTGGTTTCAACCCCCCTTCCAAAGGTCGTCTGGGGAACCCGCGCGGTGTCGTTTGGGGATCCTCACCACCTCAACCGTTTCGCTGGTGTGGCTTTCCCGCCCGTCGGCGTCGATGCTCTCGCAGTTATGTCAACATCGCGTTTCCGCGGCGGTCGTTTCGCGTTCGGCAGGAGGGGAGGGGACGCCGTGTGGGGTTCACCTCTCCAATCCGGTGGCCCCCCCCCCCAACCGCCTTCGGGGGGTCGACCGATTCGTGAACTGCTTCCGTCGTTTGGCTTTTCGAAGTTCGTGAAGCGGGTGGAGCGCGATGTGGCGGAGGTGATCGTGCTCTTTACCCCCTACACACCG